CAACTGCTTAAAAATAATAGCTTTCTGCCACTCTTCTTGCAAGTTAAATCTCCCCTGCATCAAAATAAGCAAAGGTTAAACATGTTTATAATTTCATCTTGCGGTCAACAAAACATAAATATACAAACCTGAATTTCTTCCCACATTGTTTCTTTAGTCGCTGCATCAAGTTTTCTCCAATCAGAAAGTGTTACCATAACATGTTCTCTCACAATAGGACAAAGAAAATATGATAGTGTTACAGACCCAGGTCTAGCATGCTCACTAAATTTGGTGAATGTGACTGCAACCTTTTCATTAGGATTCTTAGCTACTCTACGCATATTTGTTGTTCTTTTTTTTTCACTTTATCCTCTGATAGCTGAACTACTTTAGTACTAGGAGTCTCATCTTCTAGAGCATTTCTAACTCCATTTTCTTTCATATTGGGAGCTTCTCCTTCGTTCCCTTTTCTCATTGTCGTCCTTCTCTTTATGTACGTCTTCACCTTCTTCTTCTTCTTCTTCTTCCATATTGAGAGCTTCTTCTTCGTTCCCTTTCTCATTGTCGTTATTCCTTTTCTCTACGTCTTCACCTTCTTCTTCCATATTGGAAGCTTCGTCCTTATCCTCCTTATGTTCCTATCCAGTCAAACAAGCTCCGAACATTGCTTTTTCAGTCTGATCAGCCTCATTGTTATCATCCTTTTCCTCTTCCACATCTTCAACTTGCGGTGTTACATCTTCTACGTCATCATCTTGTGGTGTTACATCTTCTACCTCATCATCTTGTGGCGTTACATTTTCTAACCTCATCATCTTGAGCAGCCATTTTCTACTTTTTACCCCTTTTTCTCTTAGCTATAACTACATTCTTTTTTGGACACTTTCTTTGTTGTGATGTTCTTATTCACCTTTTGTTGGAGACGTAACTTCCGGTGTTAAATCTTCTACCTCCAAACCTTGATTATGTCTACTACGACGAGAACCTACTTGTCGTACTCCTTTTGTCTTTGCCATATCTTAAACATATTCAATCGAAACCCAAAACATATTCAATCAAACCCAAAAAAAAAAAAAACAGATTCAGTCAAAACCAAAAATCACAAATCGAAACCCAAAATCACATGTATGTTCACACAATCTAAGAATCGATACCCAAAATCCAAATTGATATTGAAAATCAAAAACTTCCACATCGAAAAACAAAATCCAAATCAAAATCAAAAACCAAAATCGTTTTCTATTCTTTTGTTGATAATTAAGAAACGATACATATGAGATACAACAAAGAATTGGCTATGATTAAATGATAAAATACCTATTGAATCTTCAGTAATCTTCTGAGAAACAGTGAAGAGCTCCCTCGATTTTCTGAGAAACAGTGAAGAAAAAAGGGTTTCGGTTTTGTATCTTCGTTTTATGAGAAGTGAAGAGTAGACTGATCAAAGGTTAATTTTATGTATTTTTACTAATATTTTACATGTACGATTGCGTTTAATTATGATTATGTAATAGTAAGGCGCCTACACTTATCAAATTTACGCGGTTACAAATTTGGTTTTTTCCGCGACAACAAATATAGCGTTTAAAAATGAAATTCTATAGAAAAACCAAGTGTTTGTATACAATAGTAAAAATTTAATAAACGCTTTAATCCGATGCTATTAATACTCACATTTCTTGTAGTGGTATATATATCAAAAATAGATATTAAATTAAACATATGAGTTGGTATAATTAGTTAAATTTAATTGATTATTTCTGTATTCACAATAAGAGATTTTAAGTTTAATTTACTAAATTTCAAACTTTATTGCAGATGGATAAATCTAATTAATTATTGTTACTGATTTGTATAAAACGCCCAGATGTTTATAAAATGACTTTGAGTTAAAAAATAAATTGAATTCAGAATAATCATAACAAAAATATTCTTGCTAATCTTATGTATTTTTTATTATCTAAAATAATATGTATTGTGTTATTATCTAAATATATCAATCATAAAGTTTAAAAGTTTTAAAACTGAAAGAGAAATTTCTATATATATTTATCCAGCTAAAAGAAAGAAAATAAAATTCTGAATTTCTAAGGTTTCATGCAATAAAAATAATTTTTACATTGTTATATAAAGTTTAATTTTTATCAATTCTTAGCGCATGAACAATAATAACTTACTTTGATGGATTTTACTTGATATATAACAAATGCATATATTTTATATAAGTTGTAGTACATTAATATTACTAGTTGCATACTCCCCGCGCAAGCGCGGGGCCGGAATCATTATGTTTGCATTTATTTTTTTCGATTTAGTGGTTTAGTGGATTCTTCTAATGACACCAAATAATAATGAAATGGAAAGAATATAGTAAGAGTGTAAAGTGAAGATATTGTATATCTAATGTGTTAAATGTTATTTATATGCGAAGTAAGGTTTATAG